AATCACCAGAATACAAGGGTACAGAAAGATCTTTTTGAATACCTTTATATTTCGTTTTGCTCGCGAAGTACTTAGATTATTCGTACGAATCCTTTTCTGTTGAACTATATGAAAGATGATCGCTCCGTACAAAAGAATTATTGCATTTAAAGGAATGATGAAAACCACGATTGCAACTATGAATGCTGTAAGAAAATACTTTGTTGTTAAAACGCATAGACCCGATTCAACTTCGTAGACATACGCGTATGGACAAAAAAATGTTGGAATTGCTACGATGACACTCAATACCCAGCTAATGATAATAATGAACCAATGAGTTTGAAAGGAGAGAAGGTATCGAAATTTAGAAAGCATTGTTATAAAGTAACAAGAGACCGCCATATTCAAAAATGAATATGAGACGATAAATGACGAATACGTATAGATAAACGAGCGTATTTTACAAAGAAGAAAACTTGCGTCATTAGGATTGTTTTGTAGAACAAAGGGGACTTGAAGTGCAAGTGTTAGACCATAGAGAAATAGTGCAGAACAAGAGTTGCATGTGAGAAGATTAGCCGTCGATCGACATTCTAATCGCCAGTGAGATGTGATCACCAGCAGAACGGTTAGCGAAAATAGAATTGTAATCGAAGCCAATACGGCATAAAGAATACTGACGATGGTGATAGCAGACATCTTCACATTTACTTAAATCAACTGACAGAGTTACAAAAAAAGAAAAGAGGAGGAATGAAGGTGTGTGCATGTCTAGAGTCCAAGCGCATGTCACTCGCAGCAAAATAAAATGTCAAATATTTTCATTAATACGGAAACGACAGATTCATGAAAGTTCTTGAATTTTCTATATATATCGTTATTAGTTACGAGATTTAAGCCTGTAGCAAAAATTATTATGCTACGATTAAAAGAAGGCTTTTTAAGAGTGAGAAAGACAATATTTTATTGGGAAAAGGTTAATGTAATATTTCAAATAAGTTTAGAAAGATTTTGCAAAGCGTATGTATCAAATACCCCGTAAAAGGATCTGGATTTTCATGCAAAAATTCTTTGTAACGATCCGTATAAAAAATCCATTAACAGCACCTATTTAGTCGCATTTGCATTTTGTCTTCAGAAAACCACCACAACGCCCACCTGATCTTCCTTGACGACAACATTTTCTTGCACATGCACTTTTATCAAACGGACATCTGATTCCGGCAAATGAACCATCGGGACCACATGTAGCATCTCTGTGATCATTTGTGCAAACACAATCTGATCGACCGTTAATTGCAGGTTTATATTCTGTCTGTCCTGGCCCACCTAGATCTATTTGAGCGCCACCCACAATACTTCCTTTGCAAAAGCCAGTAAGATAGCCAGCGTGGCAACAGAATTTATCACAACTTTCTGTTTCTTCGTCGGCGGGTCTTCCAATTACCTTTTTACAAACAGGTTGAATCAATTTGCCACAAACACCTGTAACTGTCGCTTGAGTTTTTTCTGGAAGTGCTTTATAATTATTCCATCGAGCTTGAAGTGCCGCTCCGCGCTGTGAATAGAGGAACAATTGACAAAATCCAATCATTAGCATTACTTTCAAGAAAATTCTCGGAAACAACGTAATTTGCAAAATAGCATTCTAAATTTCCTACAAACCACTACGAAAAAACATTCAAAGACTGCCGGATTGAGATATTGCTTTTATCCCCTCGTAATTCTATCGTGTTGGTACTCAAAACTGACAATCGATTTTGAAGTCTAATCGAAAAGTAGAAAACGGGAAAAAACTATCTGTTCGTAAGGTCATCTCGTTATCTCTTCAATAGTTGAGAAGGATTATCGCGAATTATTTAATCGTTCTAAATCAATTGTTAACCGAAGTGATAGATCTCAATGTATTATAAGATATTCTGGAGCGATTTGTTTTTCTAAACTCTTTGAATAGAGATGCGTATTATTGCTATAGTCATCTATTAACCATATCGTCACATAAGAAGCTATTAAATAGTTAGAATAGTGCTAGTGAGAACGCTGAGATACTGACCTGAGGATCTGGAAACCAAGTCCACGAATGACTTTTTCCAATGATTACTAACACTAAAAAAGAAAAATACACAACGTGTAATGTACAATACAGTCAGCTCAGCCAAGAACGCTCCCGACTTACCAGCAACTAAGGCTGGAAATAATGTATGAGTGTAAACCATATTGAACTAAAATGATAGACATATATGTGGTAATTTCTGATAAAGGAATGATCACGTCATTAAGATGACATGCCCCTACGATGAATAAAGCTTTCTTTTTAAATGCAAAGCATATCATAGGCAAATATCGAAATTTTCTCTTTCAATAAAAGAATGATCGCACACTTACTGTATTTTTGTCTTGATATTTGTTATTTACTAGTAGATGAATTGTGTTTGTGTGTAATACACGTCGTACGTTATATATATACACAGATATACCGTATTTCCTACGGCGCTCTCATATGAGTAGTTCCTTCTTTTTCAGTGTGAAATACCAACAAAGTATCGATTGCACTTCCTCTCAGCATTCTGAGTCATATCTGACGACAGGCTTAGTTAGTAATAGATAATTGCGCCGTATCGGTGAAAACGACGTAGTCAATTTCTGCTTAATCTCATCGACAATATGTCATAGTTACTCGAAGCTAAGCAGGTTTATTTTCAAGTTTGTACGTCGCTGGTGACAAGTGTATATGAAATCATCTCCATATGTTGTTTTTTCTTACCTTTCATACTAACTAACCATTCATACGCACTGAATAAAATATTACTCTATATTATTACTTAATCTATTGATATTGTGTAGTTAGTATATTGGTCTGTCTCTAGTAAACAATGATAAATAGATAAGATGGTACCGATTCTCCCGTTATTTAATAATGAATATATGAATTGAAATATAGAAAATGTTTGAAAATTGTTGAATATGTTTTTATTTAGTAAAATTTCGAAAGCATGTGCAATTGGCAGCCGGTCTGATGCACAGAAACACTGCACTCAGTCAGTAACCAGTACTTCTTCTTTCATTCTTAATTCTGGTAGTTGGACAAACATATGCTCGATCATTGCAACGTATTCATTTTTAATTTGCGTCAACATTTCCAAATTGCATGTCGGCTCTCTCATTAAATATTGTCTCAATCTTGAATCATATTCCGCAACTTGTGTTTTGGTATACAGTTCTCTATTTTCATTAATTAAAGCCATTGTCTGACCAAGCTGAAACGCAATCAGTTTCACGATTTCAATTAAGTCTTTCTCGGACTGTTTAAAATTGAGCTCTTGAAAACAAATTGGCTTAAGTGCATCGAGACGAAGATAGAGTTTATTTGCTTTCAATGCGTTTTTAACGTTATGTCGTTGTTCAGATTTTGTCAATTGAGACAGAATAGCTCGTGTAGCACGAATAATTTTCTTTTCAAGATCACGAGAAACGAGTCGCTGGATTTCGAGTGGATGATTTTGTGTATGCAAATGATATGTACTAAGGACACTGTTATTGGTTTCATCAGGAATGCCCTTTAACACCCATGTGATTATGCCATCTGTTAGAACTGCAAGATTTATATTGATAGACTTGTCATTTGAGAAGCAGTCCAAATCTTGAAATTCATAAATGAACTTGTTCATTAGTTTTTGACATTCGGTATATGTGGATGGTTTTTGATAGTCTTTCAGAAGCACTAATATATCAGTATCGAGACTGTTTTCCGACCCAAAGACGTAATACGGAAGACCAGAGCGAATGGATACAGGTTTTAAACAGTCAATGTTACCTATAAAAAAAGATCAAGATTTTAAACTAAACCATTTTACGAAATAGACTTGGAACTAATTAATATATGTAAAAGTTATCGGATAAGCGTCTGGCAGATCATCGAGGTATGAAAAAATATCTGGAAACGTGTGCAATAATGAAGAAACCTCGTATTCAGTGATTTTGAATTTTACGCATCTTATTCTGTAGACAATAAAACCTAAGACGACTGAATTTCAAGGAAACTCCTACTATCTTGATTTAGTCTAAAAGTTTAAACTCACCTAATACAGTTAATTGTTGAACTATTTCTTCTCTAAATTTCTTATTTTGTTCTAATAGTGGTGCGATTTTGTCTTTATATTCTTCTCGACTTTCAATCACTTGCTCTTTTCTTGCATTTAATGTTTCAATCAACTCCGTTTCATTCGTTGATGTTTTCTCCATTTGTCTCGTAAACGAATTTATTTGTTGAGAATACTTTTCTAATTTCGAATAATGATCGTACACAACGCGGTCACATCGATCCAGATGTTTGTTCAGATTATAGACTCGATGTCGTTTCAGGATTTCCGGAATGTGACATTCTATAGATGAACTTGTGCATATGGGATCAGTCGATGTATTTCGTACGAGAACACGATCTATTATATAATTTAAAATATTTGGTCCTGTTTGGGTAGAATCGGATGGAGCAGTGAATGTTAGCGAAATTTCAGTATCGGAAATTTTAGTTTCAGTTATCTGCAGAATGGTATCCGGAATAAATTCGTGTTCTTCGCCAATTTTCGGTTTGAATGTGTCATTCGAGATTACTATAGCTCGATGGTACATCCCAATATGTAAAGCAATTGCGTCTTCACAACCACCCGTTTGATCGTAATACAATGAATTAGCTGCCGGAATAACTAACACATGTCCATTGTTTACAAGACGAAAGAACTCTAATTTCACTTGATCACCATAATTTCCACTGATAATTCCAATATATTTTGAAGGCGAAATAACCATTCCAACTGTTTTACATCCTTGCTCTATGAAATAATCAATTAATACAACCACGATCCGTTGTGAGAAATTATCAGCATCGATGATTATGTTCACTTCAGAAAGTCGAGGATTTGATGGCATGTCGATGTGGATTGAAACGTTTGCCCAACAATGTTCTCGACTTACATCACAATCTCGTTTACCATATGGACTACAACGGCAAAAGCCATTTGATCGGTAATGATCACAATTCCATTTACATTTCGGGCAGATTTCACTCAACTTAAGACATTGACGTGTAAGAATTGAAAAAGTAGACATTTACTAGCAGTTCCTGTATAATGGATATGCGGACCATTTGAATATGTACATAATAAAAACAGTCTTTATTTATGAGTAGGGCTTGATGCTGATGTAATATTTCGCGTCACTCAGTAATTACAAAATAGTAGGAAATATTTCACATTGTCTTTCTACTTGTATTTTTCGTTCTTTCTGTTTGATTAATGGCATACAAAACATTGTGTGATAACAGAGACACGTGAAATATTATATTCAACCAATCTAGAAAAGGAATGTGGGTTTGAGTAAGCATATTATTTTTCTAACACTCATCCCTGCCCTCAAGATGGTATTATCATTCATAATGCATATGTAGGAGAAAACAAACGAAATTGAAAGATTAACGCAACCGAGCTACTTTCGTAAGTGACATCTATCTGATTCGTATGATTGATTTTTATTTGATCAATCAAATATGATTTATTTAGTCTCGACATTAATCGAAATAAACAAGATTATTCAAATATTTCGAATTATTTATGATTTGCTTATGAGTAATATCTCCGGTATCGATATCGAATGTGATCAACGTCTTGCCATCGGCTGTATTTCCCGTCGACCATAATGTAATCCATTGTCGTTCTTTCACAGCTAATGTATACGTGGTTGACCAGAAATGATTTCCGTCCATTGGTATTACTGAGTTTCCAATCCTTTCAAATTTCAGTGTTGCTGAACTTGTGTCAACGATAATCGATGCAATAAACCAAGCTTTGTCGACAATTTTACCAGAATAAACAAGTGATATTAAGCGATCTTTTGTCGGATCATAAATCAGTGCATAAATCGCGTAATCATTTGGCATACGTATTTGAACGTCTAACTTGCCTGTGTCAACATTAACTCCGCAAAACAGTGCTTCAATAACGTTGTAATAGATGCGACGCTGGCGCGCAAATCCCATAACGAGACTATAGGAACCGTATGGATACAAGCCAATTGTATTCACTCGGCCTGTTGTTTGATCAAGTGCCGCTACTTCGAGAGTAGCGCCAGAATGAGCAGACTCTCGAATGCCAACAAGTCGTGTTTCGTCATCTGCTATCTGCCAAAATGATCCATAACCAGGCCCATTTATTGATACATTGTTGAGTAGTTTCAGTGGTTTTTTGACATCAATAGTGAATAGAAAGTAATGTGGTACACCGAATGAATCAGATGTATAGTATGTTGCAGAATACGTTTCATTATGAATGTTTCTTATTGCAGTGGCTGGGCCTGCAAAAGATGCACGATTGAGATACAACAAACGATCATATTTCGGAGAATTGTCTAGTATTTGAACGAAAGAAGTGTTTCGTATTGATGACGTATCAACACCAAAGAGGCGACCTTGAAATGCGAGTGTTATATTAACACACGAAACTAAGACGCATAGAATATTTTTCCACATAGTATCAACTACTGTCGTTTTCTTTGCCAATCAATCGAAATAAATATGAATAGTCAGCAATGTCACTATCATCATGCTAAGACACTTTTTCATGATACTTTCAATCAGTCACTCGATTTATTGACGGTACGCGTAATCCTCTGATCATGCAAAAAATAGTGACGATATTTATTTCTAACCACGTATGTATGTGAATAAGACTCGAAAACGAAACAAACAATTGTTTTCACTATGGATGAGAAAGTACGTAAATATCATCAGTGGCGAGTTCTCGTGAGTAAACACGAAGTTCATCCAAAGATCCACTGTAAGGATCCGAAGCGATTGATTGTGAATAACATGAGCTACGGTTTCCTCTAGCATTGGCTAATACCAATGTGTTGAGTTCACCGGAACATATATACTGTAAACCAGAGCCTGTCGTGTTCATCAATGTTCCATTGACATACAATCGTAGCCCATTATTTGATGAATAAGTATAAGCGATATGCGACCAAACGTTGCTTGGTAAAATCGAATATGATCTGTTAGCGTGCCCAAGCAGAAAAAAACCATCAATCTAAAATAACTATTGAAATTGATGGAACGAAGTAAATTGCTATTACTTCGTAAAAAGACGAATTTGATTGAAAATCGATAGCTTGATTTACTTTTCCAATGGAGAATGTGACATTGGCATAAGTTCCTTTGAGTCGTAGTGAACTTGCATCATAGTATGATTGGGAATCAAATGAATGATATGTAACTAACGTAGCATCATCCAATATTTCGCTGGCAGTTTTTGCTTTCATACTCAATAATACTTCGTCAATGGCACTAGAAAACAGAATTTTATCTCGCAGCAAAGCTTGATCGTATTTTACCCAGAAAAGTACCACGGAGTACCAGGTTGTTGTTCAGTTTTTCCAATAACAATCAAACCTGACATACTTTGATAAGGGTTGTTCGATGTTCGATTGCAATCAAGCATTCCATCTCGATAAATAGATTGAGTAAATGATGAATAATTGTATACAAAAGTAATATGATACCAAGTATTTATCTGAATAATAGTTGAACTTTGAAGATCATCAGAGAAAAAACACAGTCGAGGTGAACCATTTCGAAGTACATAATGTAATGACTCGTCTGCATTTGCAGCATGGCGCTGTCCAAAGAATCCACACGTATAGCTAGACGTGTTGGTACTGAAGAACCACATTTGCACCGTAAAACTTCTGTAAGAGAGATTTCTGTATGTCGGTACATTAACAAATTGGTTATTGGCTGCATCAAACCATAAGGTAGAACCATATCCATTTATACCTGGGCTGCGATAGATCGGCGAACCACTCAGTACTCCATGATAATTTGAAATACTGTCATTTGTATTATTATCAAACGACCACAAACTAGCTGGCTCGAACACTGGTTGTGGTGTTGTAGTTGAAGCACATGTCGGAAGAAGTTCTATAAGAAAAAGTGATAAATAATATTTTGATTAGAGAAGAAAACAGGAATATATTACGAGAATTTTTCTTACAGCAAATAACAGTTGCAGTGATATTTTCCGTCGGTTTAATCGAATTTTTTTGACAACTTTCAGTAAACAAAGAACAGATTTGTTTGTCTTTGAAATAAACAGCTGTTTGACAGCGATAATCATCCTGGCATAAACGAATACAGTCATTCAATTTTGAAATTGACTGATTGTGAACCAAAGAACAAGAGATATTGGATTGATAAATCGATTGTCGATGGAGTTGAACAATCGTACGAGAATCTATCACAGGAAAAAGCGTACAAATCAGCAGGAAATACATCTTGTATGTTGTCAAGTCAAAATTTTAACCCGAGTTAAGAAGAAAAAGTATGTGTCAACACGCCGAACGCGTTACGGAGAGAAAATCATTTGTTGATGAAGCAGAAATATGGAACATTGGACTTTGTGCGACGTTCGAACTAAGTATACAAGCAAGTGTTTCTATGTGTAAATATTTGCTTCCTGAGAAAATAAAACGGGTAATTTTTATTGTCAAATACTGAAATTATCATGAATTTATTAAAAAAAATTCTTGAAAACTATTTCCAATATAATCATGAAAGCACAGATCGCATATATACTGCGATCTTTTCTGCATCTAAGATCTGACATTTAAAAAAACAAGAACATGAATAGCATAAAATGTCTGACACTAAGGCTGCTAGCTTTATCTCTTTATTTATGTATTCAATTATTTAAAGTTCCGCGTTCTGTAAAGATATTCTTACGAAAGGCAATTAATACATTTGTTATCTAAATGTAAATGTCTTCATTCTCTCTAACATCAGTCGGAATCTATTATGAATTAGTCCAATTATATTGAATTGGAATTAATTTCCATTACTAATGAAGTATTGTAGATAGGATGACGCACGTTCGACTAACAACAATCTGACTTCATTTATATATTCAAACTCAGTCAGAACTAGAATAAAATATTAATTTTACTAAAGCAATGTCGTCATCCGCGTCAGGTGCAGATCTCATCACTCTATTAAGCAATGCCTCTACACAAATCAATCGCTATCTCGCCATTTTTATCTTTCTTTTTGGAACTATTGGGAATATTTTCAACATTCTAGTACTCACGCAAAAGTCTTTGCGTTCAAATCCATGCACCTGGCTGTTTCTTTTGTCATCTATCGCGTTTCTCATTAGTATTCTTGCTGGTGTTGTCTCACGATTTCTTTCGACATGGGGAGCTGATCTGACGAACACTAATCAGTTCCTTTGTAAGTTTCGGATCTTTTTTATTCTCAGTTCACTGACTGCTGGCTATTGGCTCATCATGTTGGCCACAGTCGATCGATGGCTTTCGTCAAGTGTCGATGCCAATCGACGACGAATAAGCACTCTCAAGAATGCTCAGCGTGGTGCAGCACTTATTATCATACTCTCGCTACTTCTTCGAGTACTAGAATTAATTTGTTATGAAGCCAACCTTACCGATGCTCCATTGAAGTGCTATTTAAAAACAGCTCTATGTGCCATTCTAGCAGATTTAAGTTTTGCTCTAATCACTATTCTCTGTCCATTGTTACTGATGCTAATATTTGGACTGATGATCATATCGAATGTACGTCAAACACGGGCTCGTTTACAACCAACACCTGTCACAATCGATAGTCGTGCAACCAAAAACACAACAATATCTACTGGCAATGAACAACAGAGTCAACAAAGGAGAATGGATCGACATTTATTGGTCATGCTTTTGGTTCAAGTTGTACTTCTTCTCGTAATTACTCTTCCGTTCGCTATTTCAAAGCTTTATACGACAATAACCAGAGATAGAGTGAAGTCGACATTGCAAAACATTACTGAGAGCTTTATCTTCAATTTGTTTCTTGTACTCTTGTTTGTTGCTTCTGGAATGCCATTCTATATATATACACTGACGGGAGGACATGTGTTTCGACGAACATTATTCAACTTGATGCAAACATTTATTCAAAAACTCAAATGTTGACTTAATTGATCGTATAGAAGTGTAATTATGCATGTATCATTGAAATAAATAGATGATTTGTACCACTTCCTCAATATTAACTTGATTTTGAATGACAGCAGATAATTAGTCATATTAATTACTACTGCTTACAAATGTCGATTGTAAAAAATTCTGTGTATAGTTGATTATAATATGTGTGTTCATTAACAAAGTAGGTAAACATATATAGTGTCAGTACAACCACAGCAACCACCAGTCGAAATATAAAGCACGCCATTGCCACCACACCCATAGGCACGATACCCATCACCGATACATATCGCTCAATAACCATAACGATTAACACCACAAACGGTCATAATCGATGTAGTATTATCACAGGCATAATCATGATTAGCATTATAACAAACGCGACCACAAGTAGTAACAGTTGTATAATTAATCATGCACCCTGAAGGTCCCATAGTTGTAATACTAGTAACAGTGGAAGTGGTGGTGGAGGTTGCATCGGTTGAGTATGCTGTCTGCGTCGTAGATATGGAAGAGGATCTGGCAGTGAATCGTGCACTAGAGTCTGCTTCAGAAAAACAGAGCTCAACTAAATACTGTGAGTGGTTTGCGATCTGTAAGTGCTATTTGATTTAACAACTGAACGAAAACACGCTCTATCCCGATCTCGAATGATCTTTCTTTTACGAACTCTATGTAATGAAAATACTGCTTTAGTTAAAGGATGCGTACGTAAGTCGAATATTTGACGTGGTTCCATCTAGAAATATGTGAGTTGAAAGCCAACAGTAAACAGATCTTCTGCATAATCTTGTGTAACATTGTCGATTTCCGTACTGGAATAGAGATATGTAGAGATTTTTGTTAAACCCAAGAAAATGAATATACATATCGACAATCCTTAAGAAAAAGAGAATTAATTATTTCCAGTTATCATTCAATATCCATGCTTGTTTTGCAATTTGCGATAGATCTGCAACAATGGGTGTACTATTCGTTGACATATTCGATATATAATCGATAGCTTAAAAAGTCGAAATTACACATAGACTGTAATTAAACAAACACAACGTAAAATAATTCGTCTTCACCTGTTTGACTGGTAGGTGCAATGATAGCATTTGAATTATCGTTGTTTTCTGATAAAAATAGAAATATGAAGTCTACAAACACCGACAAGATCCACGAAATAATACGTTTAATAACCCATCTTATTCTAAAAATGAATTCCAGTATCTGCGACGAGCATAAGAAGTACTGATTTAATACCACATGTTTATAAGCGTCTGATTGCATGAAGTATAGTATTTATTTTCAAATATACGAAACGAGACAAAAATAAATCGAGTATAAACATCGTAATGTCGATCGTAATGTATTGATTATAGTATCTATCGCATGATTAAATATACTCTAACGATGCTGTTGTGACAATATCACTTTAAATAACTATCTGACCTATATGATCGGTCACCTGTTTAGCTTTTTTCTTACTCTTTCTACAGAATGCATATACCTAATGATTTGTTTACTACAGTCACATGGTAAAATGTTTTTTTTATTACTAAATCATACTGATACTGTTCTTCTAAATGCTGTCAAAGTAAGACAACTATTTTCTGCACTGTAAGTATGACTTGTCATTATGTCGTTATCTCCCTTTATAAAGTATGAAACGAAGAGAACCTTTCGCATGACACAAAATGTTGACTGAAGAACAAATTCAACGTGTAGGTTTTACACTTTTGTACTCTTGTTTGAAAGATTTTGTTTTAGTATGAGCAAGAAGGTTTTTTCGTTATTAAGCGTTTTTTAACTCCAGAAGAATGTGAGGAATTGAAAACAATCGCACATGAAATGATTAACGATTGGGAGCCAGACGCGGATTATTCGTGGTTGTATGGTGATAATGAAACAAAGCAACGCATTCTACAACAACGAATGATTGATAGTGGTGATACAATTTCATATAGTATTGAAAGTGATGCTGTCGATCCTAACACTGGTATGTGTTCCTTTTTTTTGTAAAAGTATCGATGAATAGTTCATAATACAATTTCAGGTAAACTTAATCGTGATAAGCATCTTGTTATCAGTCGCATCGGTCATGCACTGCATATTCTCAATCCCTACTTCAAAGAATTTACATATTCTGATAAGATCAAAGTGAATTGTACTGAAATTTTATTCGTTCCTACGATATTACTTTAGGCGATTGGGCGCGATTTGAATTTAGTTAAACCTGCTATACGTCAATCGATGTATATGTTTAAACAACCATTTATCGGAGGAAAAAGTAGAAAATATTCTTCACCTAATCACAACTAAAGCGTTTGTAATTGCCTAGTACCACCACATCGAGATTCCACCTATGTATTTAATGATCCATTCAAAGTGGTTGGTATTTGGATTGCACTGGAAGATGCAACGATAGAAAATGGTTGTCTTTGGTTTATACCAAAGTCGAATTCAGGTACTTTTCATGTTCAATGCATGCGTTACTTTGAATTGCATGTCGTTTAGAATCAGCAAAACGACGTTACATACGAAATCCAGACGAGAATGAATATAAGCAAGGTAAACTGCTCGTGTTCAAAGGCGAAGAACAATATGATGAAAAGCGTTTTGTTCCAGTGGAGGTTAAAGCTGGTAAGAACCTCAAATAGCATACCATTTCGTTAGTTTATATTTCTAATTAGGTGATTGTGTTCTCATTCACGGAGAAGTTGTTCACAAAAGTGAACCAAGTACGATATGTTCAATGTGATGAATTATTTTCGTTACATGCGTATGTTTTAGACAAATCAGCCAAGTCTCGACAAATATACGCACTCCATCTTTTTGAAACGTACAATTCAGTTTACGGCAAAGAAAATTGGTAAGTCGTGCAGATGTTTTTCAAATGTTAGTCTTCTGCGATATGTTCAGGCTGCAATTATCAACACCATTTCCATTGCTTTATGACGATTCACCATCTTGTGAGATTCCGAAAGACAGGCAATGATGTTATACAATACTTTGTTTTTCAAAAAAACATTTATATTGTTAATAAAAACACATCTTCTACAAAACATAAAAATAAAAAACCTCTGCAGATTCAAACTAATCTTATTCACTTTGGATATGAAAAGCTGCTAATTCCGCTCCTTTGTTAACATTTTCAAAGTCCGCCTTGAAAATACTGGCATATTTTTTGTTCTGTTCTTTACGAACTATATTTCGAATACTATCATTTGCTTGTAGAAATGACAACTGAATCAATAGTCCGTACAGTGCCTCATCTAGTCGTGAGAGATAAACATATTTTCTTTCAAACTGATTTGGACTATCCAAATTATCGATCACCCATAGCTCCTCCTTGGAAGTGGAATTCTCAATCGCTTGTATTAATGCGTCTTGAACTTCGTTGATTGACGCAACGTCTTTATGCACTAACACAACGAGTAGCTTAGCAGCAATGTAGCGATTGTTCATCGAAAGTGAATTTAATGTTTTAAGTAAATATTCGATCGCATCTCGAGTTGCTTTTTGTATGCGCGAAACGCATCGATAAACAGTACGTTGCAAATGAGCGTTGTCTCGCAAAGCTGTGACGAACATGCTCGCGAGATCTACGGTAAGTTTACCAAATGTAGATAAGACTTCAATACAAGCTGCGCGTCGAGGAAACGAATGCTGAAGACTTGTATAATATAGCTTTTTCATAAAGTCAACCTCTTTAAAGTTTTCATTTTGCCGAACCTCATTACAAAATGCGGTGGGTATATGTTTGGTTAATTCGGCTGCAACTTCAACAAATATTGGCTCACCAAAATGAACATGATGATGACTTTCATCACCGTAAGCTATCTTATCAGTGAAATGTTTAATACTTTCATATAAGTCTTTTATGAATTTCGGAAGTAAGGACTGAAATTTTAGAATGAAGTATGTGATTTGTTCTATTCGCACCGCACAATCTTCGGAGATGTAGATATATCCGCTACTTTTCATTAAAAAATCGTAACATAATTGGCAGTCTCCAACTCCGAAAACCTCCAAAAGATCATCCATACGGCGATCACCACAATAGGATCTCGATAGAGTCCACAAAGCTGCATCCGATATGGCTTTTGTCTCACACTTTTCTAACATTTTTCGTGTTGAATCATCACAGGCCACTGCTTTAATCAATATTTCTTTTGAGTAGTCCGCATGTATGTTAGTTAAAGATAATACGCGCGTTTCTTTCTCGTCGCTATTCTTGTCCATGGTGTACAAATCAACTATCAATGTAAATATTGGATCGGATGTCACATCAGTACTTAATTCAAAATAGCAGGAGCCGCGATAACCGAGCACAGCAAAAACTGCCTGTTGGATTAGTTGAAACTTGACGATATGTTCACTCTCTAAGATATCTACTAAATAATTTGTTAGTAATCTACACGCATAAGAATCAACATCGTTGGTCTTATCGAAAAAATTTCGTCCAATGTAAAAGATTATAACGGATAGATGTTGATCATATAGTTCAATGTCGCTCCCTTCCATTTCAGAAGACATATGAGCAAAAATATAGTCGATGAATGCCTGCATTACATTCACACTCATGTTATGGATAAGATAAGCTATGGAAATGTTGACATCCATGCCTGATGCTTGAAAATCTTTGAAAGAACAATTCTTCTTCAACGCATCTACACCTTTCGCTTGTCTATACAAATAAAAACGAGTTCTTTCCAGTTCGAGTTTCAGTATTTTAGCCAGATGATCACGATCATTGATTTCTACCTCTTCAAACATCCACAGCAAAATCACGCTGACATACGCATTTTGACAGCGATAGTAAACGCAGTTATTAATGAAAGCTTTAAGCACATCCCAGCCTAGTTGAGAACTTTTTCGACTCTCTCGACTTAAGATTAGCTCAGCACGTTGACGAAATCGATCGTTATCGCTGAGTAACAAATGACACACAATATCTACGNCGATCCGTTGTGAGAAATTATCAGCATCGATGATTATGTTCACTTCAGAAAGTCGAGGATTTGATGGCATGTCGATGTGGATTGAAACGTTTGCCCAACAATGTTCTCGACTTACATCACAATCGCGTTTACCATATGGACTACAACGGCAAAAGCCATTTGATCGGTAATGATCACAATTCCATTTACATTTCGGGCAGATTTCACTCAGCTCAAGACATTGACGTGTAAGAATTGAAAAAGTAGACATTTACTAGCAGTTCCTGTACAATGGATATGTCAACCATTTGAATTTGTACATAATAAAAAAAGTCGTTATTTATGAGTAGTTCCCGATGCTGATGTAATATTTCGCGTCATTCAGTAATTACACAATAATAGGAAACATTTCACATGGTCTTTGTATACTTGTATTGTCAGATCTATCGTTTTACCACGGATATTTTTCGTTCTTTTTGTTTGAGTAATGGCATACGAAACATTGTGTAATAACAGCGACACGTGAAATATTATATCCAACCAATCTAGAAAAGGAATGTGGGTTTGAATAAGGATATTATTTTACTAACACTCATCCCTGCCCTCACGATGGTATTAGCATTCATAATGCAGATTTAAGAGAAAAATAAACGAAATTGAAAGAATTACGCAACCGAGCTACGTTCGTGAAGGACATCTATCTGATTTGTATGATTGTTTTTTATTTGATCAACCAAAGATGATTTATTGAGTCTCGATATTAATCGAAATAAACAAGATTATTCAAATATTTAGAATTATTTATGGTTTGTTTATGAACAATATCTCCCGTATCGATATCGAATGTGATCAACGTATTGCCATCGCCTGTATTTCCCGTCGACCATAATGTTATCCATTGTCGTTCTTTCACAGCTAATGTATACGTGGTTGACCAGAAATGATTTCCGTCCATTGGTATTACTGAGTTTCCAATCCTTTCAAATTTCAGCGTTGACGAACTTGTGTCAACGATAATCGATGCAATAAACCAAGCTTTGTCGACAATTTTACCAGAATAAACAATTGATATTAAGCGATCTTTTGTCGGATCATAAATCAGTGCATAAATCACGTAATCATTTGGCATACGTATTTGAACGTCTAACTTGCCTGTGTCAACATTAACTCCGCAAAACAGTGCTTCAATAACGTTGTAATAGATGCGACGCTGGCGCGCAAATCCCATCACGAGACTATAGGAACCGTATGGATACAAGCCAATTGTATTCACTCGGCCTGTTGTTTGATCAAGTGCCGCTACTTCGAGAGAAGCGCCAGAATGAGCAGACTCTCGAATGCCAACAAGTCGTGTTTCGTCATCTGCTATTTGCCAAAATGATCCATAACCAGGTCCATTTATTGATACATTGTTGAGTAGTTTCAGTGGTTTTTTGACATCAATAGTAAATAGAAAGTAATGTGGTACACCGAATGAATCAGATGTATAGTATGTGGCAGAATACGTTTCATTGTGAATGTTTCTTGTTGCAGTGGCTGGGCCTGCAAAAGATGCACGATTGAGATACAACAAACGATCATATTTCGGAGAATTGTCTAGTATTTGAACGAAAGACGTGTTTCGTATTGATGACGTATCAACACCAAAGAGGCGACCTTGAAATGCGAGTGTTATATTAACACACGAAACTAAGACGCATAGAATATTTGTCCACATAGTATCAACTACTGTCGTTTTCTTTGCCAATCAATCGAAATAAATATGAATAGTCAGCAATATCAATATCATCATGCTAAGACACTTTTTCATGATACTTTCAATCAGTCACTCGATTTATTGACTGTGCGCGTAATCCTCTGATCATGCAAAAAAAAGAGTGACGATATTTATTTCTAAATACGTATGTATGTGAATAAGACTCGAAAGCGAAACAAAATAGTTATTTTCACTATGGATGGGAAAGTACGTAAATGTCATCAGTGGCGAGCTCTCGTGAGTAAATACGAAGTTCATCCAAAGATCCACTGTACGGATCCGAAACGATTGATTGTGAATAACATGAGCTACGGTTTCCTACAGCATTGGCTAATACCAATGTGTTGAGTTTACCCGAACACATATACTGTAAACCAGAGCCTGTCGTGTTCATCAATGTTCCATTGACATACAATCGTAGCCCATTATTTGATGAATAAGTATAAGCGATGTGCGACCAAACGTTGCTTGGTAAAATCGAACCAGCAATTTCTACTAATGAACCGGCCCAAATAGTAGCGATAATTTGTCCCTGGGGAGAAAATCCAAGTAAATAACTACACCAATCTTGTCCACTGGTTGTTGTTGATTGCTGAATAAGGATCGATCCTTGAATAAACGATGGGCAAATCCACAGAGAAATCGAATATGATCTGTTAGTGTACCCAAGCAGGAAAAAACCATCAATCTAGAATAACTATTGAAATTGATGGAACGAAGTAAATTGCTATTACTTCGTAAAAAGACGAGTTTGATTGAAAATTGATAGCATGATTTATTTTTCCAATGGAGAATGTGACATTGGCATAAGTTCCTTTGAGTCGTAGTGAACTTGCATCATAGTATGATTGGGAATCAAATGAATGATATGTAACTAACGTAGCATCATCCAATATTTCGCTGGCAGTTTTTGCTTTCATACTCAATAATACTTCGTCAATGGCACTAGAAAACAGAATTTTATCTCGCAGCAAAGCTTGATCGTATTTTACCCAGAAAAGTACCACGGAGTACCAGGTTTTTGTTCGGTTTTTCCAATAACAATCGAACCTGACATACCTTGATAAGGGTTGTTCGATGTTCGATTGCAATCAAGCATTCCATCTCGATAAATAGATTGTGTAAATGATGAATAATTGTATACAAAAGTAATATGATACCAAGTATTTATCTGAATAATAGTTGAACTTTGAAGATCATCAGAGTAAAAACTCAGTCGAGGTGAACCATTTCGAAGTACATAATGTAATGACTCATCTGCATTTGCAGCATGACACTGTCCAAAGAGTCCACACGTATAACTAGACGTGTCGGTACTATAGAACCACATTTGCACCGTAAAACTTCTGTAAGAGAGATTTCTGTATGTCGGGACATTAACAAATTGGTTATTGGCTGCATCAAACCATAAGGCAGAACCATACCCATTTAGACCTGGGCTGCGATAGATCGGCGAACCACTCAGTACTCCATGATAATTTGAAATACTGTCATTTGTATTATTATCAAACGACCACAAACTAGCTGGCTCGAACACGGGTTGTGGTGTTGTAGTTGAAGCACATGTCGGAAGAAGTTCTATAAGAAAAAGTGATCAATAATATTTTGATTAGAGAAGAAAACAGAAATATATTACTAGGATTTTGCTTACAGCAAATAACAGTTGCAGTGATATTATCCGTCGGTTTAATCGAATCTTTTTGACAAATTTCAGTAAACAAAGAACAGATTTGCTTGTCTTTGAAATAAGCAGCTGTTTGACAGCGATAGTCATCCTGGCATAAACGAATACAGTCATTCAATTTTGAAATTGATTGATTGCGAACCAAAGAACAAGAGATATTGGATTGATAAATCGATTGTCGATGGAGTTGAACAATCGTAAGAGAATCTATCACAGGAAAAAGCGTACAAATCAGCAGGAAATACCTCTTGTATGTTGTCAAGTCAAAGTTTCAACCCGAGTTAAGAAGAAAAAGTATGTGTCAACACGCCGAACGCGTTACGGAGAGAAAATCATTTGTTGAAGAAACGGAAATATTGAACATTGAACCTTGTGTGACGTTTGAATTAAGTATACAAGCAAGTGCTTTTGTCTGTAAATATTTGCTTCCTGAGAAAATAAAACGGGTAATTTTTATTGTCAAATACTGAAATTATCATGAATTTATTTTTAAAAAGTTCTTGAAAACTATTTTCAATATGATGATGAAAGCACAGATCGCATATATACTGATCTTTTCTGCATCTAAGATCTGACATTTAAAAAAACAAGAGCATGAATAGCATAAAATGTCTGACACTAAGGCTGCTAGCTTTATCTCTTTATTTGTATATTGAATTATTTAAAGTTCCACGTTCTGTAAAGATATTCTTACGAAAGGCAATTAATACATTATTGTTATCTAAATGTAAATGTCTTCATTCTCTCTAACATCAGTCGGAATCTATTATGAATTAGTCCAATCATATTGAATTGCAATTCATTTCCATTACTAATGAAGTATTCATTGCAGATAGGATGGCGCACGTTCGACTGACAACAATCTGACTTCATTTATACATTCAAACTCAGTCAGAACCTGAGTAAAATATTAATTTTACTAAAGCAATGTCGTCATCAGCGTCAGGTGCAGATCTCATCACTCTATTAAGCAATGCCTCTACACAAATCAATCGCTATCTCGCCATTTTTATCTTTCTTTTTGGAACTATTGGGAATATTTTCAACATTCTAGTACTCGCGCAAAAGTCTTTGCGTTCAAATCCATGTACATGGCTGTTTCTCATGTCATCTATCGCGTTTCTCATCAGTATTCTTGCTGGCGTCGTCTCACGATTTCTTTCCACATGGGGAGCTGATCTGACGAACACTAATCAGTTCCTTTGTAAGTTTCGGATCTTTTTTATCCTCAGTTCATTGACTGCTGGCTATTGGCTCATTATGTTGGCCACAGTCGATCGATGGCTTTCGTCGAGTGTCGATGCCAATCGACGACGAATGAGCACTCTGAAGAATGCTCAATGTGGTGCAGCTCTTATTATCATATTTTCACTACTTCTCCGAGTACTAGAATTGATCTGTTATGAAGCCAATCTTACCGATGCTCCATTGAAGTGTTATCTAAAAACAGCTCTATGTGCCATTCTAGCAGATTTGAGTTTTGCCCTAATCACTATTCTTTGTCCATTGTTACTGATGCTAATATTTGGACTGATGATCATATCAAATGTACGTCAAACACGAGCTCGTTTACAACCAACACCTGTAACAATCGATAGTCGTGCAACTCAAAACATAACAATGTCTACTGGCAATGAGTATCAAAGTCAACAAAGGAGAATGGATCGATATTTACTGGTCATGCTTTTGGTTCAAGTTGTACTTCTTCTCGTAATTACTCTTCCGTTCGCTATTTCAAAGCTTTATACGACAATAACCAGAGATAGAATGAAGTCAACATTGCAAAACATTACTGAGAGCTTTATCTTCAATTTGTTTCTTGTACTCTTATTTGTTGCTTCTGGAATGCCATTCTATATATATACATTGACGGGAGGGCATGTGTTTCGGCGAACATTACTCAATTTGATGCAATCATTTATTCGAAAACTGAAATGCTGACTTAATTGTTCGTATAGAAGTGTAATTATGCATGTATCATTGAAATAAATAGATGATTTGTATCACTTCTTCAATATTAACTTGATTTTAAATGGCAGCAGATAATTAGTCATATTAATTACTACTGCCTACAAATGTCAATTTAAGAAAAATTTCAGTGTATACTTGATTGTAATATGTGTGTTCATTAGCAAAGTAGATAAACATACATAGTGTCAGTACAACCACAACAACCACCAGTCGAAATATAAAGCTCGCCATTGCCACCACGCCCATAGGTATGATACCCAGTACCGATACATATTGCTCAATAACCATAACGATCAGAACTAGAAAAGTTCGTAATAGATGTACTATTATCACAGGCATAATCATGATTAGCATTATAACATACGCGACCACAAGTAGTAACAGTTGTATAAGTAATCATGCACCCTGAAGGTCCCAGAGTTGTAATACTAGTAGCAGTGGAAGTGGTAGTGGGAGTTGCATCGGTTGAGTATGCTGTCTGCGTCGTAGATATGGAAGGAGAGCTGGCAGTGAATCGTGCACTAGAGTCTGGTTCAGAAAAATAGAGCTCACCTAAATACTCTGAGTGGTTTGCGATCTGTAAGTACTATTTGATTTAGCAACTGAACGAAAACACGCTCTATCCAGATCTCGAATGATCTTTCTTTTACAAACTCTATGTAATAAAAATACTGCTTTAGTTAAAGGATGCATACGTAAGTCGAAGTGAGTTCAAAACCAACAGTAAACAAATCTTCTGCATCACCTTGTGTAACATTGTCGATTTCCGTACTGGAAGATATATAGAGATTTTGGTTAAACCCAAAAAAATGAATATACACATCAGCAATCTTTAAAAGGCAGATAATCATTTACAATTATCATTCAATACTTGTGCTTGTTTTGCAACTTGCGGCAGATCTGTAACAATGAGTTTACCATTCGATATATAATCGATAGCTTAAAAAGTCGAAATTACACATAGGCCGTAATTAAACAAACACAACGTAAAATAATTCGTCTGCACCTGCTGACTGGTAAGTGCAATGGTAGCATTTGAATTGTCGTCGTTTTCTGATAAAAATAGAAACATGAAGCCTACAAATACCAACAATATCCACGAGATGATTAATCCACAGATAATACATTCAATAGCTCATCTTATTCTAAAAATCAATTCCAGTATCTGCGAGGAGCACAAGAAATACTGACTTAATACCGCATGTTTATAAGCGTCTGATTGCATGAAATATTAAAGTAGTTCTTTTAAAATCTACGGAACGAGAGAAAAAAAACGATTGTAAACATCAGAATATCGATTGTGATGTATTTCTTATAGTATTTATCGCATGATTAAATATACTCTACAGATGCTGCGGTGATAATATGAATTGCATATCAATCGTCGACAACACAGTTTGTCAACAGACATTTTGTCGACAAAACTTCGTCGACAAATTATTGTCAACAGACATTTCGTCGACAAGGTAGTTTGTCGACAAATATTTCGTCGACAGCATTTTGTCGACAGCATTTTGTCGACAACATTTTGTCGACAGACGTTTCATCGACAAAACAATTTGTCGACAGATACTTCGTCGACTATTCATTTCGACGAAAAGGAGATCATTAGAACTGTCTTTGTTCTAAATTTCAAGTATTCTGCTACTAATTGACTCAAGTTCCGCTCATTTATTGGTATAGCGTCGGTTGGACAACTCGTCTTGTTATATTTAGCACTTCTTCATTTCTTTCTTCATCATGAGAACTAGCACAACTATCGTTAAGTTTGGTGTGACCACAAAAGGCATGCGTGTGGTTTTGTTCGATGGATACATCTACACATTGAACCAGAATCGTGGGAAAGTGAAATACTGCCGATGCCAAGATCGCACCTGCTCTGCTTTTGTTCATACCAATGGGAACGACAACTACAAAGCACATTCGGGTACTCACAAGGACCATCTGCCCTCGCCTGAGCGAATCGAACTTCGCGACTTTAAAAGAAAAGTCAAAGAACGAGTAATCAAGGAGACAACGGCGATTGCTCGTATATATACGATCAAGAGCTTGCAGCGGCAAGGCTGAGTCAAATTGCGTTGTCGTTAGCTCCTTCTGCTGGCGACAGTCGTGAGTATCTCCTTCTATACATCAATACTTTCCCCTATATTATTTTGCAATCAAAATATATTGTCGACGAAATGTCTGTCGACGAAATGTCGTGTCGACGAAATGTTTGTCGACGAAGCGCCTGTCGACGAAATATTCGTCGACGAAATGTCTTGTCGACGAAATATCTGTTGACAAAGTGTTGTCGACAAAATGTTGTCGACGAAATATTGTCGACAAAAAATTGTCGACAAAGTATCTGTTGACAATCATTTGTCGACGATTGATATAATTACCGATAATATTACTTAACATTTTTTTAGCTTTTTTTCTCACTCTTTCTACAGAATGCATACCTCATGATTTGTTTATTACAATCATATGGTAAAATGTTTTTTTATTATTAAATCATAATGAGACTGTTCTTCTAAATGCTGTCAAAGTAAGATAATTATTTTGTGCACTGTAAATATGACTTGTCATTATGTTGTTATCTCCCTTTATAAAGCGTGAAGCGAAGAGAATCTTTCGCATGACACAAAATGTTGACTGAAGAACAAATTCAACGTGTAGGTTTTACACTTTTGTTCTCTTGTTTGAAAGATTTTGTTTTAGTATGAGCAAGAAGGTTTTTTCGTTATTGAGCGTTTTTTAACTCCAGAAGAATGTGAGGAATTGAAAACAATCGCACATGAAATGATTAACGATTGGGAGCCAGATACGGATTATTCGTGGTTGTATGGTGATAATGAAACAAAGCAACGCATTCTACAACAACGAATGATTGATAGCGGTGATACAATTTCATATAGTATTGAAAGTGATGCTGTCAATCCTAACACTGGTATGTGTTCCTTTTTTTTTTTGTAAAAGTATCAATGAATAGTGCATAATACAACCTCAGGCAAACTTAATCGTGATAAGCATCTTGTTATCAGTCGCATCGGTCATGCATTGCATATTCTCAATCCTTACTTCAAAAAATTTACATATTCTGATAAGATCAAAGTGAGTTGTACTCAAATTTCATTCGTTCCTACGAATTTACTTTAGGCAATTGGGCGCGATTTGAATTTAGTTAAACCTGCTATACGTCAATCGATGTATATGTTTAAACAACCATTTATCGGAGGAAAAAGTAGGGAATATTCTTCACCTAATCGCAACTGAAGCGTTTGTAATTGCCTAGTACCATCACATCGAGATTCCACCTATGTATTCAATGATCCATTCAAAGTGGTTGGTATTTGGATTGCACTGGAAGATGCAACGATAGAAAATGGTTGTCTTTGGTTCATACCAAAGTCGAATTCAGGTACTTTTCATGTTCAATGCAGGCTTTACCTTGAATTGCATGTCGTTTAGAATCAACAAAACGACGTTACATACGAAATCCGGATGAGAATGAATATAAGCAAGGTAAACTGCTCGTGTTCAAAGGCGAAGAACAATATGATGAAAAGCGTTTTGTTCCGGTGGAGGTTAAAGCTGGTAAGGACTTCAAATAGCATATCATTTCGTTAGTTTTTGTTTCTAATTAGGCGATTGCGTTCTCATTCACGGAGAAGTTGTTCACAAAAGTGAACCGAGTACGATATGTTTAATGTGATGAATTATTTTCGTTACATGCGTATGTTTTAGACAAATCAGCCAAGTCTCGACAAATATACGCACTCCATCTTTTTGAAACGTACAATTCAGTTTACAGCAAAGAAAATTGGTAAGTCGTGAAGATGTTTCTCAAATGTCACTCTTCTGCGATATGTTCAGGCTGCAATTATCAACACCATTTCCATTACTTTATGACGATTCGCCATCTTGTGAGATTGCGGAAGGCAGGCAATGATGTTATACAATACTTTTTTTTTCAAAAAAACGTTTACATTGTTAATAAAAAACACATCCTCTACAAAAAATAAAAA